AAGCCTTTAATATGTCTTCAAATATAAATAAACATCTCGTTGATATTTTCAGTAGTAAATGGTACCAATAACAGCACATTTGAGCAATGCAATTGTAGCGGATAAAATGGTCAATTTTTCCGTGCAGTACTGTACGGATTATACGCTCCTCACCCGTTAGGAGTTTCGCCGAGAGGTGTCTCCTTTCTTTTCTGGCCTAGTGCTGTTCTTTTCTACTTTGCGCCGGTCAAACTGAAGGTCACATCGCTACAGAAAGTAAACGAAGTATAATTGACGCGATGGATAAAAAATAATCTAAAACAATTACCAACAGGGTGATAAACAATCCACTATCATTCAAAAATTCCGCAGAAAACGCTTTAAAAACCTAACACGCGTTTCCATACCCCCCCGGTGACATCTGGGGTTTTTTAAACATTTTGTGTGAAATTTTGGCTGATAGTGTTTTGTTTGTAGGGTTTTAGCGAAACAGCCACGAATTTTAGAAATCGTTTATCTATTGAAACCTTTTAACAATTTGTAATTACGTGTTGTCCGGATAATTCTTACAATTACATTTAAAATATGTTTGTCAAGTTAGCAACATAATCGCAAAACGATTCTCATAAGAATTTAGTCCTTTTTAGTACTTACTCCTCATATAAAAATTAGTGGTGGTTCTGAGAGAAGTCTAAGGGAGGTAATATCTTCACCGAAAAAAAATTTACGACAACCAGAAAATTACAGTGATTTGATTCATAATTTCGTTTGCAATGGGATGAAATTTTACTATACTAGAAATAATTTTTCAAACCTATTGTACATTTCAAGCATTTTTTAGTGTGGGTGTAACAGATAAATGTTCAGTGGGATAGAAAGGATAATTTTACAACATATTACAACGGATTTAATTACGTATGTCGGCAATTCATTCTTGCAGATTAAAAAGCACTAAATTAGAGCGTACTTTTGGAAGCAACTAAGAAATTTTGGATCTTACATTAGACTTCAGTCAGAACCACAATTGACTTTCATTTGGCAAACGAATTACTAGAATTTTAATTAGAACACTAGCACTAAATTCTTACGTGCGATTTTGTGAGTGATGTGATGTGATGAGCTAACTCGACACACACATTTTAAAATTTCTGATTAATTTTCTTTTGCTTTCTTGTATTTAGATGTTTTATGTTATTGTTATCATTTTTATTTACTTACTGTGGTTTTTTGTACTCCTATGATAGTAATGTCTGGTTTATTTTTACAACAAATAATGAATGATAATAAATTCCAAATTTCCGACAACAGGATTTAGCACATCGAATCTAAATAAATGTTTCGGTCCAAAACGTGTAGCTGTCTGCATTTTCACATATTTATATTTAATGTATATTGCGCCACCTTTATATTTTTTTTTATTATTTAGTATTCATTCCGTTTGGTTTATTATTATTTGTACATACACATTTTCATTTACTTATTAGAATGATCAATACACCGTCTTTTTTTATGCGCTTTTATTGTTGCAAATATCTTGTGATGAATATGTGTTATCGATATTAGCCAGTGCATTGTTTTAGGCCTATTGACTCACATGGAACATATGAGAATGGATCCTAAACATCAATTTGCTGCACAGTATGTACTTTCAAGGGCCGCAGCAGAAAGGAGAGAACGAGAAACGTTACTTGCCGCAGTTTCTGCGGCGTCGGCAGCTTCAGGAAGCGGACTATTGGGGCTTACCGGAATGGGACAAACTTGTAAGGAAATATTTTAAAACATAAGAGCATTCTAACGGTCATATTAAGGCACGAAACCAAAGAAATAATGAAATAAATTATAAAATATTACACCAGTAACAATTGCTTTGGACAAACGACCGTTTTCAGCAACTGTAGAGTCAAAAACTACTACCCCATTAAAATAAGTCCTAAAAATTGTTTCCCTTAAGAAGTCACTTTCAAATAGAAACAAATAAACCAGAAATAAAGACTCAATTATCATTTTAAAAGTAGAAATTGATAACTGAGTTTTATTGAAGTAAAAGCCGAATTAATTAAACTTCTATACTAACCAAATCATTATAAATATAGTATGGTTTATAATAATTCAAATAAAGCTAGCCTGTATGATTATTTTATTAAACGACATTGTGTCGCCCTCTCTCACAGAAACGCCAAAGGTACAAGTTAGTTGATAGATACACATGCGATACCTACCGCAAATGCGTTTAAACACAATTAAACATAAGCGTCCCAAACAGTTTTTTCAAGGGAGTTGTACTGTATCAAAATATTATATTTATTTGCAATCTAATTAATGATATTATAAATAAAACCGGCAAAGACACTAATTTTAAAATTTCTGTTGCAATAATCAAGTGAATAAGAATGTATTTTGATGTATAAAAAGCTGCTGCATGAATACTTTGTTGCTATGTTTCTCAAATATTTATCTATTTTAGAAACAATTACAAGATCAAATTTTAGAAATACAAAAGAAATTAGTTACAATTAATTTATAATCAACATAAAAATATCTAGCCAACCTGAATAGGTAAAGAGCTTCAAAAATCGTTTAAGAAATAATTGAATTTATAGATATCTAAAATATAAATATATTGTATTTTAAACTTGTAATCGATCTTTCTGGACTAGAAGTTGTCCTTCTCAATTTGTGTCATTAATTGCTTCCCCTATGTTATAGTTTTGGAGACGCCTATGGTTATGTTCATATCCCTTAGTTAGGGATGCTAATTTTTTAATTATACTCAAAATACAAGATTACTTCTTCAATTTTTGAAAACTGAGTATCATCTACAGTAGACGTAGATTATGCCTTCCTGGCAGTATTCCTCATATTTTGAAAAATTGCAAATTTTAATCTTGATTACCCGATAATTACTACCTACTGAGTGGAGTATTTTAAATAAATAATCCGTGTTGTAGCATTAAACAATGCATTATAAAAAGTATGATGTTTAATTATAAACAAGGAAATTGTTATAGTACCTATCAATTGGTGAAGACTGTAGAACAAGCTAGAACAAGTCTATTGCAACACTTATTCAATAAGATTATGTTGTAGTAGATTTTTTCTATATGCTATTAGGTACTTAAAATATATTGTTTTTAATTATAAAAACCCTAAATTAAACATTAATTATGAAATTAAAACATACAGACTCCCCTCCATTTTCAAATGGTAGACACTTCCAAAAAATTTTATTCCTTTCTACCGTTATTATCTAACATTAAAAATAATGTAACAATGATAATGGACATACAGTAGGTACAGATAAACTTATTCTCCCAATATCCATCAAATTCAGTGCTCAATTTTGTTCATAAATCTTACCTTGCATTCTGGCAATCTCAAAATGGAGTTAACAGACATGGCACCTGCTCAAATGTTTTTGCAACCATTACACTATTACACACATATATCGGCTATTAACTAATACACATTGTTCAACTACGTACCAACAGAAATACATCAAATACGATAATCGCCAATTAGTTTATATTTTTTTAACACTAACAATTAATGGTTGCAAATAACCGTGAAACACGTTAACACATGCAGAGCCTACGGCGTATCGGCTCGCACTATTCCACCAAATAAATGCATCTGAACTATTACAAATTACAGCCAACTGCAAAAATTAGATGATGATACTTGAATGGTTGTGGTCTAGAATAAACTGTTTTCCATGAATCGGAATAATTCTAATTGTGTATTTATTTATATAATGTTGCATTTTATAGGAAGTTGTAGCGTTTTAAATGCCTCATAAAAATACATTACAATAGTTTTACACTACATACAAAAAAAAATAATTGGATATTGACAATGCGTTTGCCAGAATTTTACAGGCGTTACCATAAACAATAATGGTAAACTTTTCTGTTATCATAATCGTAAATATTAAATAAAATTTCCGCTACTAATAAAATAATTACAATTCAGAGATCCAGTTTTAAATGAAATAAAGTAATTTAACTTAATTGTATCTCAATATTTGATTCTTCTTGAACCATGAGGTACAAAAAAAGGGAAAATGTAATGTAGTCTTTTCCACAATACAATCTTCCTGTATATACTTTAATGTTTTCTAATTTTTACAATAATAAAGTCCTTAAAATAAGTATAATTAATGAGAGCTAAGGGAATGTCAAAAGAGATCAAAGATCTTTTTTTTTTCAATAGCTAGTGGAAGTCCAATGTGTGCTTCCCCGAGTGCCCATAGCGACAGTTCGTCAGGAAATGGTCGGTTATCATCTGCTGGGTCGGATACCGGTGGAATGAATAACAATAACAACAATTGTAACACAAAAATCGGAGATATTTTACGAAGTAACAATGGTTTACATCAACAGTATAACGCGGAAGAATTGCACAATGCCAACAGGATGGCTGTCATAGCCAACATGGTTGGACAAGGTGGTGTTCCTCCTGGACTCGCATCGGATCCTTCTTCGGCAGCTAATATCGCTGCAGCCAATATTGCCAATCTTGCCATGAGGCTAGGAGTCACTCAGGTATTCAATTTTATTAATTATTTTTGGTTTATTGGATTGAGATTTAGTCAAGGGCATAGTTACCGCCGTATCAACCATATCAATGATACAAATCCTCGAACTGCAAAGAAATTCGTAAAACAAAAAGGAAGCTGGCGATGGTCAAAGTAGGAACAAGACCAAGACTGTCTCAGTGTCTTCGGTCTTGACCTGGATCTTGTTCTTCTAGTCGTAGTCTTGGTTTTACCTTATGGTACCATTTGGTATTGGTCTTAATCTTTAATAATTCTTCCAACCACAATTTTTTCTATTATAAAGATTATTAAAAAATCTATAAAAGAAATCTATTAAAACAAAATGAACATTTCAAACACGAAAAATGTTTTGTTCCAAGAAAAGAAAATATTAAAGTTTCTTCAAATAGTTTAACTCATGATTTTCGTCTTGAATGTTCGATCTTGATTTTAGTCTTGGACTTGCTCGTTCGGTCTTGATTTTGATCTTGCTAGCATTCTTCCTGTTTTTTTCCCTTCTGGTTAGAATTGCAACAACTTAAAGAAGCGTCTCTAAGCCTAAATGGATTAAAAATTATCTTAGAACTTCCGCGAGACAAGAACTACTATCGGAATACTCTCCAGAGAAACAGAAAATCTTGAAAAACTAAAGGGTATCCAGTTGTAGATGTTTTAGTAAATAAGTTTGTAAAAAAGACGGTAACGAAAGCGTCTATTTGCAAATAATAATTGACCAACTTAGATCCTAGGATTCCTAGGTTTACCTACTGTTTACCTTTGGGTTTCGCCACAAATTGATTAAAAAGGCTCCCATCAAATTTTGATATGATTCTGCTTCATTTCTACGTTGTAGAATATTTATTAAAGAAAGTATGGTGTGAGTATAGAAATTCTTGATTGAACAGGTGATTCCCTTGTCATCAAAAATTCAATTCTATTAAACATAAATGTTTTCACTGGTATGTCATATTCGATATTTCTAAAGAACATTTTCAAAAGAATGACGAAAGTTAATATAAGTTGTTCGAACAGCATTTAGTAAATTTCCAAAAATTCCTTTCAACCTTTCCTTGCCGCAAATCCAATTTTATGTCACGTTTGAAAGGCCTTTCGCATTGTGAAGGTTTGTGTTTGGCCTTAATATTTTATCTTTTATATGAAAACAGCAAATAGTAAATATCATTATTTACCCTCCCCTAATCATATATATATACATAAGTTGTTTGGGGACGACAAAGGGATCGGAATTGGAAAATTTCATCAATTCAGCCTACTATTCTACTAACATTTACTTACGTTAAAGAATGGAAAAACTAGAAGCTACAATGGAACATTGTGTTTTCCTTTACATTGTCATGAATGCTTCCAATTTTCATTGAAATGATATGCATCGCTATTACTTTTGATTCTTCGCTCCAATTCCAATTTTTGTTTACAATAAAATGCACCTCCCTGTCCATAAAATTCCTTACGAAGATGTAATCGCCGTCTTCCTTTGTTTTTCAGGCAAACCAAGTGAACAATTCTTCAAATCCATCCACTCCACCCATGTCCAACGACACCCTGACAACCTCGGTGAACGCCATGACTGCCATGCGTGCCATGGATAGTATACGCAATATGGATGCCATGAGATCATCCGTTATGGACATGTCTTCTCCACAGCAAACGCAACAAAACGATGTGCTCAGGATGCAGCAGCATGCGGCTGAAGCCCTCTTACGATCTCAGGCAGAAGCTGCCATCAGACTGGCCATGAGTCAGGTAAGAGTTGCTTCCAAAGTCAGGAAGTCGATCGTCCAAATGGTGTAAGTAAAATATTCTGTCTTGGTTCCAGGCTCTTCCCCAGCTAAACCAACAGGAAAACAACAATCCTCTACGCCACAACACTAACTACCAGGGACATCAAAGTCAACCATCTCAACAGTTGAGTCCGGACTTGACGGAGGCTTTAAGGCTTCAGGAGCAGAGATTGGAACAAGCCTTACGCTTGCACGGGAGCGATCCCAGGTCGTTGGGCTTCTCTCTAGCATCCCAACAACAAAATCAACAACCATGAAATTTTAGCTATTACTGAGCACAGTGAATGTCGCATACTTAATAACAATTCCAAAGCCAACTGTACAAAATCACATAGAGTGGAAGTCAATATTCATGTGAAAATAATAGCTACTAATTTGTGTCTTATCTACGCAATAGAGTAAGGGAACGAAAGATAACAGTGGCGTACTGAAGGGTCAAATAATTTATTAAAAAAAATGATAATGGTCACATGTCTAAAATCGTCGATGCATAACTAAATTTTATAAGAATACGAGAATGTGGAAAGACCGTTGTACGCCACTGTTAAATATTTAAAATTGGTCCAAATTATGGCAGTTCTCTAAGATACTTAAAATATTACGTCCATTTTTCAAAATTAAGGAAAGTAATTCCAAAATAAATCAGACGTTGGATAAATTATTAGGGAAACAATGGTTTGGTTAAATAAATAATTAAATAAACAAAAACACTTGATTTGTGTACAGGATCATGCTATAGAACTCGTTTAGTACTTTCACAAAATTTCCAATGTCAAAAACTAAAGCAAAAAAAGTTAAGTTGAATTTGGGAAATAAAAATTAATTAATGAGTAACTGGACATCCTGTATATAGATAAACAGTCGTTTTTGCATAAGTTACATAGTTGTTTCGCCATAATGCAAAAAAAAAACTTAAATAAAATTAGAAAATCACAAAGTTCGTGTGCCAAAACAAACAAAAAAGTAAAAAAACACATTTAATGTGCTCAGTTCCGAGGATCATGACTAAGCCATGCAAGCATGTATAAATACACTTTAAAAGTGTAAAACTATTAATTTAGAGAACAAAATAATTTGTACAGTTACGGTAAGTGTTAAAAAAGAAAATTTAATGTTAAGTAGATAGAGATTATGCGTATACAGGGCGTCCGACAATCGCATCATTTTTACTGAAATCCCTTACAGTTTATTCAAGTACGAACAAATATCTTACATAAAAGTCTTTCAGGTTATTGCTCACAATATCAGTCTATTACAATAAAAGTCTCTTTAAAGATGGCTCCTTTCCGGTTTTACCGGAAATGTACATTTCTCAAGTTTGGAAACATATTCTTCATTATACACTTGCATTTTTTTATTATTACTCTGCGTTTATTAACCATGAAAAAATATATATATTTAACAGGAAATAAATTATTTCATCTGAAAACAGTTGAGTGAGTGAGTGAGCATTTCCGGTAAAACCAGAAGTCCGCCATTTTTAAAATAACAATTTTGGATATTAGAAGCCAAAAATCTGCAAGGTTTTTATGCAAGGCATTTGTTTCTATCTGCATCTTTAGGGATTTCTGAAAGAAATATCCATGCCGTGGTGAGACGCCCTGTATATTTTATATATATACTGTCCATAATCCCAGAAAACTACACAATAGTTTCCAAAGTTGTACTACTCCGTTTATGATACCTCTTGATCTGCGTCCAGTTGATGTTTAGAATCTAGTTTAAGGATGTTTGGGAGGTACAATCGGAGACAAAAGTACATAAAATTAGAAATTCCTGATTAATTAGGTTTTGCAGCATATCATGAGGTAAATAAATACTATCTATACTAAAAAAAAGTGTACGGTTTGAGAGAAAATTTGGAATTTGACCAAAAACTTTGAATAAAATAAGAAATAACGAATAATATGGAAAATTTTTAACTGACTTTTGGCAGTGAATATGCCTTGATTTCAACTTCGAAACAAAAAAATATTTAGTTTCA